AAGTCTAGAAGACTTTTGGTGGAGTTCTTGGGGTCTTCTATATAGAGTATCATGTCGTCTGCAAATAATGACAATTTGACTTCTAAATGAACAAATTTCTAAAAAAGCACAAACTACAGCTCATTCAAACTAAAATAGATAATTTGCATACCCTAATACTATTAAAGAAATTGATTTTCCGTTTTAAAAGATTTCCAACAAGAAAAACTCTAGGCTCACATGGCTTCACTGGAGAATTATACCAAACATTTTAAGAATTAGCATCACGTCTACACAAGGAGTTACAGAAAATAAGAGGAGGGAACACTTTCTACTAGGTCAGTATTATCATCATGACACCAAAAAAGAAGGGAGGGATAAAGGAAAGAAAGAAAACTATAGACCAGTATCTCTGAGTATAAATGCCAAAACAATTTTTTTGCTTTTGCTTTTGTTTTTGCAGTTCTGGGGACCAAACCCAGGGCTTAGTACATGTTAGGCAAGTGTTCTACCACAGCCACAACCCCAGCCCAAAAGGCAAACATTCTTACCAAAATAATAACAATCGTATATTACAACCCTGGGGTTTATTCCACAGATTCAATATTCTAAAATCAATCAGAATAACATATGTAAACAAGCTAATGAAGAAAAATCACATAATCTGAGAGCTACTAGAGCATATGCAATCTGTAACTGTATTCACTGTAGATAAAATTAAACATTAAATTTTAAAGGGCTTGCCTATACAAGAGTAACTCTTTGCCAACAAATTAAAACTTAACCTATTTCAAGTTTTGCATAAGTATTTGAATTTTGAAAACTAAAAAAACAAAAGAAATTGAAACATTTTTAAGTTGGTAGAGTTTTTTGGCAAAATTTTTGTCCTATAATTAAGATGTCTGTGTGCCCTCTCAACTAGAAAAGAAAATTTTCTTACCATAATTAAACTGACTGTTGGACTTTTCACAGTTAATGATGTTAAACCTGTAAGCCACACCTGGTCTCATTCCACTGACTTCAAAGTAAAACCACTGATGATAATGATTGCTGTTTATATCGGAGTTAAGAATAAGATCATATTCATTTCTAAAAATGGAAGATAAAGATATCTGATTAAGAATATACTTTTCTTAATAAAATTAAGAAAATACTTGTACATATACAAAATAAGAACATTTTAAATGACTTACTTTCTAATTTGAATTACTTTGCGTAGATTCCCAGATTCAAATTTGGAGTTAAACTTCAAAATATCTCCTTCTTCTGGAATTGTGTAACTAAGTAAGTATTTTAAATTAAGTATATTAAAATACACTGTATTTAAACAAATGATTAAAAAATTACAGATAAAAATATATCATTGTCACATCAATTCATTATTTTTAAAACAAAGACAAAGCAAGTAGAAACTCTATCCAACATTTACAGACCAAAATATTATAATTAAAGACTTGTTCCCACATTTACACTAATAAAAGAACTTTTGCCTCTGTGAACAAATGTCATTTCTAAAATACTGATTATCATATAGAAAAGTCTCATTTTAAAAACTGCATCTGACCTCTACTAAGTAGCAATAATTCTAATAAATTATGAAGTCTGTAGGTAAATTAAGAGAGCTATATTATCTGTTCTTATTTAATTAGCACCAAAAAGTAACACTGTATTCATTTTACATATTTAGTATTTAGTATTTTCTGAGCATCTAGGTGAAGGGTTATGTCTGGTTCTTCTACTATAATAAAAGTTATTGCTATTCTGGAGATTGCATACTATTAGGAGAAAATTAAAGAGTCAAAAAACTCAATGATTTTCTTTAGAAACATTTCAATTAGAAAGAGTATGGGTAGGCCACACCCAGGGTTCTTGACTTTCTATTTTTTAACACATTTGCTCTGTTTATCTGACACAGAATTAAAACACTGAAATCAAAGAGATTTTTTAATAATAGATTTTTCCCCTAATTTTTTTTTCTTTGCAGTGCTGGAGATTGAACCCAGGGCTTTGTGTATGCTGGATAAGTGCTCTCCTACTGAACCACACCCTCGGCCTAGAATATTTTAAATACAGTCATTAGCTTTGACATACCTTTTACTCATATGTCTCTACCAAACCTTTGGAAAAGTTTTCCTCCAAATATGACTGGTAAAATGTGGAATTTCTCCAAAATATCAGAAAGTTGGGAAGAGGAGAAAAACCTACTGAGGGTTAACTGAATTTCTCATTTGAGGGAGTAAATAACTAAACAATATAACATTATTTATAATTATCATTTATTTAATTATATTTAAATCCTAAAATGTGGCATCAGTGATAATCCTAAACAGTAAATGATTAATGCACAAAGGTTCATAAGTAGCTTCAGAGATCAAGTAGATAACTTAAATGACTGAAACAGATTTCCAGTAGCAAAGGTAAGAAGAAAGTACGAACTGTGGAGAATCGGGTCTTTCTCAAGGGGAGATTGATTTGTCGTCCTCAAGAAATATAAAGGCTCAGTATTTCAAGACGAGTCAGTATTTCATGTGCAATCTCCAACTCTTTTAAATGGAGGTAATTTCAGTTTTTAAAAAATACAGCATTAATTTATAATCCTTAAAATCCACCAAAAAACAAACAAAACTCTGTGATACATTCAATTTAAATAAACAAACATGATTTAACATTATTTCCCTGTCACAAGATGAAAAACACAGTAAAGTTAAAGTAGGTGAGAGTTAATTGCAATTTTTCTATCTTTCATAAAAATGTACCATTGCAATTCTACTTTAAAAATAAACTAATAAAATGTTTATTTAAAAGCAGACTTACTTTGGGTTATCTAAGTCATATACCACCCGATCTATGATGTCACTCTGATGTATTAGCCTCTCAATATCTTGGGCAATTTTTGTCCTGAAATCAGAAAAGAGAAATTTGACTAAATTCATTATTATATGCCAACAGTATGCAACTTTTTCCAACATAAATTTAGAATGAAAAATTATAAAATGATAAAAAAATGTTTTAAAAGGATCGTTTCTATTTTGTGTACAAAAATGTATCAGTTCATAAAAAGTAGAAAAAAATTAATATTTATCAGAATCTAAGTTCTAGAAAGTAATCATGCAGAATACAACCATTGTTTAATAGTGGGAACAAAGGAAGGGTGGAAAGAATGGAGGGAGAGAAAAATCTAAAATGTCTTTAGACCTTTCTGCTTAGAAATGGTACAGACTTATTTGTTAGCCCTTAGACAAATACTCTGTGTGTATAATAGCAGATTAGAAGTGATAAAGATCTGACAAGTCAGAGATAACATAAGAACATATTTCAAAACCATTTAGCTGGCAATTTACAAAAATCCCACTGTCAGTCAGTTGGCTCACACTTCTGCAGAGTCCCCCTCTCTCGGTGATGGGAAAGGAAAAGTGAAGGGAGGAAATACTTGGACTTCATTTTCTCCTGAATCAGCCCAACAAAATGAACCCTAACTGGAAAAACCCTAAAATCCCTGCCAATGTCCTAGAACACTCAGCCACCCAAATGACTCACAATGTTCCCCTTCATTATTTAAGCCAAGTAAGACAACCACCAGGTAGCACTACACTTGTAGCTGAAAGAGAACAGCTCTGGCTCCTGAGGACACGATGCTAGAACTACAGGTAGAATGACATTCTGCTAGTGTTAGTTCATAGCTACTTACCACAGTTTTTTCTAAAAAAATAACTACTGACAAACTAGTCTAATAGGGATAAAAAGACACACTATGTTGACTATCATAACTTTAAAATGCCAAGTTCTTTCTAAAGAAATAAGCTTCTTTAAAAAACCACCAACAATAGCAATAAGTAAGCAAATTCAGAATTTATACTAATTATATCTTCAACAGTAAAAGTCCTGCATACACTTACATACACACGCACACTCACACACACACACACACACACAAATGTATCACACAAAAACATTTAATGTTCAAGTATTGGTGAGTGACTAAATATACCCATTGGTTTAACTAGTGATATATATATATATATATTCAATGTGCCAAAATTAATATTTATAAAAGTTTGGATTTTTGTTTGTTTTTGGAAAATGGTATTAAAAGCCTTCCTACAACAGCTCGGATCTACAGCCACATCCATAACGTAAAACAGGGTCAAAAATCACAGGCTCTGCAGGACCCCATAGGTAACAGAACTGAGAAAAGCTGACTGGCAGGTCTGGGGAAACTGAGGAACTATCTGCCTAAAACTAAAGTTCTACCTAAAAGCTGACTGCTGACAAGTGGAAAACAGGTGAAAACTATCACATCTAAATTTTCTAAAACATACCAGAAACTTGGATTTCTCTATGGAATTTCCCAAAGTTTATGTTGCCAAATCATGTCCAAGCTGAATATGGACTACAAGCCATTATTTTTCAACCCCTAACATTGTATTTAGGCGGTCATAACTGCCATTTAGATTTGACCTGAAAGCAATACTTGAGGAAAATTTGTCCTGCCCTAAGCCCTCTTAAATAAATTATAAAAAGTCTTTTACTCAGATACACTTTTGTGTAGGTGTTAGGGTTTATATCTAGATGTTCCCTCAAAGCCTCATATACTCACATATGGGTCTCTGGGGCGGTGACTGGATCATGGGGTTGCGATACTGGATTAGTCTGCTATGGGGTTATAGCTGGGTGTGATGTTGAGAGGTGAAGCCTGGTAGGAAGAGGTGGGTCCCTGTGGGTGTGGCAGTGGAGGGAGGGAGGGGGGAGAGAGAAAGAGAGAGAGAGAGAGAGAAAGAATACCTCCTCCCTTGATAGCTCACAGCTTCCTGCCTGCCATGCCCCTCTGCCATGTCACCCTGCCTTAGAGCCAGCCAACTATGAACTGAAACTTCTACAGACTGTAAGCTAAAATAAACCTTGTTGTCCTTTAACTTGTGGGTGCTGGGTATTTTGTCCCAGAAATGAGAAAAGTAACAAAGACAGTAGGTAACAATTATGATTTATATCTAGGTATCTCCCTAAAGGCTCATAGGATCATAGGTGGGCTTTTGGAATGTGATTGGATTATGGGGGTTTATACCTGACTTGCTATTAGGAGGCAGGGTCTGGTCCAAAGAGGCAACTCACTGGGGGTGTGACCCAGAAAGCTTTATCTCCCTCCTCGGCTCCTCCCTTGATTTCTCTGCTTTCTGCCCACCCAGCTGTGAGCAGCTCTCCTCTGCTATGACCCTCTGTCATGCCACCCTACCTTGGAACCAGCTGACTATGGATAAATCTCTCCTCCCTTAAACTGTGGGTGTCTGGTATTTTGTCCAAAGGACAAGGAAAGTGACTAAGACAGTAACTTTCATAAAAGAATATCAGCCTTTCCTTTAACTCACTTGCCAATTAAAATATATGGCTTTCCAGCCAAAACAGAACAACAGATATTTTCCAAGCACTCTCAAGGATTATAACTTCAACTTACAAATATTCAACATTTAACGAATACTTGGCTCAGAAGAATATGAAGGACAGCCTGAAAAATTCAGTCCCTACTCAAATAATCATATGACACGTGACCACCAGCAAAACTGTAATTTGTTAGACTGCCAACCACAAAGCAATGCTGCAAAATCTCATTTTTACTGATAGGCTACTGTAAGAAAAGATGTTTGTTACATAACAGTGTTCTCTGAGGATCTGTACTATTTTTCATATTGTGTATAAATAAGATCCAAGATACTCTACAAATAATGTGGTTTAAGCATGCATGTGTGTGATCACTACAGGTATGTGTATGATATGAGGACAGAGGACAGATTCATGATCTCAACCAGGGTTTGACTCTTGGCTCTGCCAAGTAGTCTGGATAAATTACTCACCACTCCCATGCTTCAACATATTCTTCTATAAAATAATAGTTCCTCACACAGAACTGTTTGCATTAAATGACACTTTATATGCCTATATCCACAGCACATAAAATGATTATCACTTAATTCTGTGGCTGCCATAAAAAACATGCACTAAATGTCATTTGCTTTTATTCTTTCTAATACTTCTACTATGGCTCAGTTTCAGAAGTACTTGTGTTTCTTCCAAGCTAGTCTACGTGTAAAGGAATCGAGGGTTTTTCCCCCTCCTTTTATGATTTTTCTACAATTATATTTCACCTACTGTTTAAGATTCCTGAACAGATAATATACTGATTGTTAAAAAATCAAGTATGACATAAAAGCATAAAATGACAAGATGTCCTTTCAACACAATCCATATTCTCCATTTACCTAATCAGTAACTGCTTTTATTACCTTTCTTCTGGGTTTTATTTTATGAAAGCGCTAATTTAGACTGCTTTTCCCCCTTTCTGATACAAAGAACACCATAAAACAACGACCTTGCTTATTGCATCTAACAATGCATCTTACAGCTCATTCCTCAATACATAGAGATTTGTTTCTCAATCATTACGTTATTCATAAAATAGATACACCATAATTGATTTAAATTGCCTTTGATGGACAGACATTTATTTCCAACCTCAAAACAATGCTACAATAAGAAAACTATGAATATCATTTCATACATATGGAAATCATGGGTGCACGCAAGGGTGCATATACATATGATTTACAAAATAAATATACTTCACAAATTTACAGATGTGGGATTAATGGGCTAAGGAAATATACAGTATTAGATTTGACAAACCCAAGCAGATTGTCCTCCTCAAAAGAGATTATCAACTGAATGTCATCCTCAATGCAAGAGAGAGCCTATTTTTCCATAACCTCATCAACAGAATGTGCTGCTAAATTTCTAGGTTTTTAGCCAATTTGCTATTAGGGAAATGATTTCTTGGTACATTTTAATTTGCATTTCCCTTGTTTTGAATGAAGTTGAACATATTGTTCTGGCTAACAGTCACTGTATTTCTTTTTTCTTATTTCTCATTTTATTTTCACGAATGTATTTTTAGAAAATACATTCTTTTTTAAAAGGCAATACAGTATAAAAATAATTTATGACAAAATATGTAATATAAAATGCAGCCTGCTCTTTTTTACATATATGAAAAAATAATAAAAAGAAAATAAAATGCTAATAGGGGTTATCTCTGGGGGAGATAAAAAATGGCCTTTCTTCATTCATTTTCTCATATTCTAATTTTATAAAATATGAAAACAGGAAAAATGTACCAAAATGCTAAGGATATTAAAAAATGAAATGAATTTCATTTTAATTTTTAAATACAATTTAAACGACAATATGTATTTGAATAATCCTCAATATGTGCTTACAATAAAAAAATTTTAAACATAGTGTTTTACCTACATATAGATAAGAATATTACAATGGGCTTTTTACTTTCCAAATGAGAAGAGATTTTAAATGAAGTTTTATTCTTTTTATACTAAACTTTTTGTCATTAAAACAGATTGGTGATTGCACACAGAAAAGATAACCATAGAAAAGAAATTCAAAACAACATTAAAGATATCTTTCCTGAATAACTTAAAGGAGTCTAATGTTTCCTTTTTCTAAAAATGATAAAGCAGTAGGTCCTCACTAATTCTGACCTTGTTCACTTACTATGCTACTCCATTAAGATAGGGATTCACTATAGTTGGTGAAAAAAACATGAAATATTCATCATCTGATCAAAAAGATAAGTTACAGAAGACTAGGCAGGTACAATTAAACAATCTAAAAAGAACACCTCACTGTGAGCTAGTTTAGTGGGATAGCTTAGTGGTAGAATTCTTGCCCAGGATGTGTGAGGTCTTGGCTTCAATTCCCAGCACCAAAAAAAAAAAAGAAAAGAGAAAAAAAATTCTTCATGTATTTCAAAAGATAAACATATCTTAGTGCTTTTGAAATACCTATTCCCTGGGCCACCTTTGGTATTATTACAAATACATAACTATGAAGCC